ACCGGGGGGCATTGGGGACACCGGGGGGCATTGGGGACACCAAGGGGTACTGGGGACAGTGGGGGACACTGGGGACACCGGGAGGCATTGAGGACACCAGGAGAACCAGGGGCACTGGGGACACCAGGAGACACTGGGAAGCACCGGGAGGCACCAGGAGGCACCGAGGGCACTGGGAAGTGTTGGGGGCACTGGGAGCACCAGGAGGCATTGGGGACACGGGAGGCAGCAGAAGGCACCAGAAGGCACCGGGGTCACCAGGAGGCATCGGGAGCACCGGGAAGCACCGAGGGCACCAGGGGCACTGGGAAGTGTTGGGGCCACTGGGAATCACCGGGAGGCACCGGGGCCACTGGGATGAACTGGGAGGCACCGGGGTCACCAGGAGGCATTGGGGACACCGGGAATCACTGGGATGCACTGGGAGGCACCAGGGTCACCAGGAGGCATTGGGGACACCGGGATGCACCGGGAGGCAGCAGAAGGAACTGAGAGGCACTGGGGGCACCGGGAATCACCGGGAGGCACTGGGGCCACTGGGAAGCATTGGGAGCACTGGGAGCACCAGGAGGCATTGGGGACATCAGGAAGCACCGGGAGGTACCGGGACACACTGGTGGCACTGGGGACACCGAGAGGCACCAGGGGCACCAGGAGGCATTGGGGACACCGGGGACACCAGGAAGCACCGGGAGACACCGGGAGGCACTGGGACACACTGGTGGCACCAAGGACACCAGGGACACCGGGAAGCACCGGGAGACACCGGGAAGCACCGGGGCCACGGCAGCAGGGCGTGACCGCATCCCCGGGGCCGCGCTGGCACTCACAGGTGGGCAGGACCTGGGCGCTGTCCGAGGGGTCCCAGCGCTCCTCCTTGCGCCGCGCCCCGCTGACGATGACGTAGTCGCAGTTCCCGGGGTCCGTCTGCAGCTCGATGTAGTTGACGCACAGGTGACACTTCATCCTGAACCTGGGGGGAACGCGGGTCAGGGGGTCCCCAAAAGCCCCCCGGGGGTCCCCCCAGGTGAGGGAGGGGCTGTGGCTCACCTGTACACGGGGGTGGTGTAGTAGGACCCCACCTTCTTCTTCTCTGCGTTGTACCTGACACCTGCGGGGGGTGCGGAGGGGGTGAAA